CCCCCGCCCCCTCGCCCCCCTGTGTGTAAGTGTGTGTGGTGCATCCATCGGCGTGTGTGCCTGCAGGGTGCGTTGCGGGTTCTGGCTTTGACGATCCGGCCGCTGAGCAGCGAGGACATGGCTCAGCTGCAGGGGCTGGACAAGGCCGACGACCGGCTCGAGTACCTGCTGGGCAAACGCAGCGCCGAAGCAAAGGCAACCACACACACGCCCACGCCCACACACAGGCAGGAGCGGACCGTCACACATGTGTGTCGCTTGCGTGTGTGTGTGTGTGCAGACGATGACGCTGCTCGGCCTGGTGGGTTCGCTCGATCCGCCCCGCACCGGTGTCAAGGAGGCCATCGAGACAGCCAGAACGGCGGGCGTGCGAGTCATCATGATTACCGGTCCGATAAAAGATGGACAGACACCCAAAGAGACCCACCATGTGTGTGTGGGTGGATGGACGGATGGATGGATGTGGTTGTGTGTGCAGGTGACCAGAAGACGACTGCCGCAGCGATCGCCAAGCAGATCGGCCTGCTGCGCGACTACGAGACCGAGGAGGAGTACGCCATCCTGTGTGAGAAGCTGCACAAGGAGGACGGGTCGCACCTCGATGACGGGGACCTCGACGAAATCACTGCCAAGTCAGACTTTCTGCACACGCACCTGCTCTCACTGCGTGGGTACTCTCTCTCCCTGTGTGTATCTGTGTGTCTGTGTCAGGGTGAATGTTTTCTCCCGTGCGCAGCCCGAGGACAAGATCGCCATCGTCAACAGTCTCAAGCGTTGCGGCGAGGTGGCCTCCATGACGGGCGACGGCGTCAACGATGCGCCCGCCCTTAAGGTCAACATCAATACCCACCGACTCACCCACCACAGACACAGTGGCATGAGGAGCGTCTCTCTCTGTGTGTGCAGGCGGCCAACATCGGTGTGGCGATGGGGATTGCTGGGACGGATGTGGCCAAGGGTGCGTCGGATATGGTGCTGCTCGACGACAACTTCGTCACCATCGTCGCTGCGGTTGAGGAAGGTGCGTACCTGCCCACTCCCCCCTCTGCCCAACGCACACACACACATCCATCCACCCACCCATGTGTGTCACAACAGGTCGGAAGATCTACGGCAACATCCAGAAGTTTGTGTCGTTCCTGCTGGGGACCAACATCGGCGAGATCATCTATCTGACCGTCGCCATCGCCGCACAGATGCCGCTGCCCCTGGAGGCCCTGCAGATCCTCTTCCTCAACCTCATGAGCGACGGGTGCCCCGCTGTCGCCATCTCACGCGAGCCCGCTGAGGCCGACAACATGAGGGTGAGTGCATCCATCCATCCACAGTGCAGCTCAGTGCTCCCTGAATGGTGTGGTGTTGTGTGTGTGTGTGTGTGTGTGGGCGTGAGTAGGTGCCGCCTCGTCCGAAGAACGCGCCGATCATGACGCGCGACTGGTGGCTGTTCGGTATCATGCCGCACGTCATCGGCGAGGTATGCTTAGGAGAGAACCACGCACAGAGGGTGTGGGGGGTGGACATACGAATCTGTGTGTACATGTGTGCGTTCAGGCGATTGCTGTGATAGCGTCCCTGATGTTGGGTCTGTACGTCACGACGGGATACATCTTCGCCAAGGACATATCCAACTCGTGCAGCACCTTCACGATGCCCCAAAATCCGAACGACAGAGACCCCCTCGACCCTCGGGAGTGCCGCAAGAAGGGCTGTACAAAGGCCACATTCCGGTACTACTGCGAGTGCTACGAGTACACAGTCGACGACGGATGGGTCACGCACCTCGACTTCTTCAACCCACAAAGTACCCAACAGCTGTTTGTTGAACAGAACACACCCACAGCGATCCTCTCGTTCTTTTTTCAGAGGGGGAAATGCAACAGGTTCTTCGGGCGTACAAGGGTTGGGAGGATGGCGGCCTTTTGTCGCCCTCCGCGCCCGCGAACCCCAACGCCGAGCAGCTGCCGTCGGTCATCACAGAAGCCTACGCAGCAGCCGGATGCAGCGAGGCGGTGGCGGGGGAGGTCACGTGTGGCACTGAGACGTACAGAGTCGACGAGGACAGCAACTGGTGGATCCAGGGGGACCATCCCGAGGTCGACAAGAAGAACCATGTTATCACGTACTTCGACTGCTCCAACTATGGTATGGATGGATGGATGCAACCAACACAGCACCCATTTGTCTGTGTGCGCGTGTGTGTGGGTGTGTGTATGTGTGTGTGTGTCAGGCGCTCGCCGAGGCCGCACGATAGCCTTCATCACGGCTGTCTTCACCGAGATGCTCCGCGCGTACACAGTAGGATCATTCACACACCTGCCCAGAGAGAGAGAGAGAGAGACAAGAGCGCTCGACCATTGTCAATATATCTTCCCTCGATGACTCCGTCAATGTGCAGGTGCGTTCGTGGGATTGGTTCTTCATGGTGTTCAATCGCAACCCCTGGATGCACCTGGCCTGCTCCATCTCGGCCACCCTCACCATCATGGTCACCATCATTCCCGGACTCAACACCGAGATATTCAAAGTCGTCCCCGTCGAGTGGTGGTAAGCACCCCCCGCCATCCCCTCTCCCTACCCCAAAAACACAACCGAGCAACGGCCGGGCACACTGCGGTTTTCTCTCTCTCTATTTCTGTGTGTGTGTCGCTTGTGTGTGTCGCAGGCACTACTTGATGGGCATCGGTTGGGCGTTCTTCAACTTCATATGGGACGAGGTGCTGCCCAAGCCCGTCTACAGAAGGGTGCTCGCCAGGAGGAAGGTGCGCGTCCCATCCCCCCCCCCCCCCCCCCCCCCCCCCCCCCA